GACTGCATTTGTCTTTTGCCGAAGCTCAGACTCTGGCACAGGATCGGGAACGTTGGAAGCTCTCTTTGACATGTCTGCCACGGTGAGCCGAAAGGAGAAGCGGCGATGGAATGTGAAGATGAAGAACTGGTCGTGAAGTCGGGAACAATCCGGTTTTCGTACAGGGTTTTCTACCATAGAAAATCTGCATGTTGTCTGGCAGTTGGCGGAGTCAAATGCGACAAATATCCAGTGCCACTGCCCTGTTCTTTTGTCGTCCATTACAAGAAGGCGTTCCATTTGGTTGAATTGGTGGCTGTGTCAAACGTCGTACATTGACATAGCATTAACCCTGTTTACGTCAACTTGATCGAACAGTTTGGCACTGGTATACACCTGATATCTGCCCCTGTTTAGCGAACGATGTCGCATCGGTATCTATGGACGAATGTGCCAAAGAGATACCGTCTCAGCAGTGTTCTTCGTCATCGTTTTGGAGTCATTCTTTAACCGGCTCAGCTAGTGCAACGCATCAGTATCGGTGGAGTGCATCTACAGCACGTGTTATTTGCGGACGATTGCTTCTCTTTAGCAGAAGACACGATGGAGCTCCAACAGAAGATCCAGCGGTTGCGAGTAAAATCTATGGTCATATGATTAAAGGTTAACCTCACCAAGACGAAATGGATGCGAAACAAGTACTGTTCTGAAGCCATGGATTGGATATTTCTGCTGGACATTGGCATTTAATACAACTCAGTCATTGTCGACGCTGTGCAGACGCCAAAAGGCTCAGTTTTTCATCTTATTGAAACCATTTTCCTTCCTATTTTTTTGTATGATACCAATGCATGAATGATCATTTATACATTGATTTATTGATATTAGTAATAGGTTGTTTTTTTACAGCTGGCTGTAAACAAGCAGAAGCAGAATCAGTTGGAAATGTTAAATGACGCGTTGCAAACGATATGTGCTGAAAGTTCATTACAGCTAAAAACTCATTACGTTCACCCGCTAGGTTACATCATCGGTACTACTCTAATTTGTGGTCTGTATCAATAATTTATGGTGCTTCTAGACGCCGAGGTGAAACGAGAACTTGTTGAAGAGTCCGATTCCAAGATAGACAATATTTTGTCACCGAAATCTGCTATGTTCATTCTGTTGGACCGTCGTGATTGGACCATGTTCAACAAGAAGCTTTGTGGTCCCCGGTTGATGGCCATCAATCATTTGACCAAGAGCGGCAACGCCGTTATTAGCGTTAGGACTAGCCATTTATTTTATTCGTGATGGCCTAACTATATTTCTTTACTGTTTAGGTTTCGTACGGCCAGTTCTCACAGATGAGAGATAAAACTCATCGAATTCAGTACGTGAAAAACTTGTTGCGAAAGAACGGCGTGTTCGATGCTCTAAAGACACCGCAACCATAGCGCCAGTCTGTTTGTGAAACGGCTTTTGCCTTCTAAGATGGTGTCTGTTGTCAAATGGCCT